ACACATTTTATGTTTACTTTAGTAAAGCTCACAGTATCGCATAACCCCATCAGAGCACTTCGCTGTCAGACTTGTCTAACTTGTGGCTCCTGGGTTTTAAAAAGTAAAACGGGAGGCAGAGCTTTCAGAGTCTCTTCTGCAGAAACCAGCTGCCAGTCGGGATTCGAGAGACATCCATCATCTCTACTTTCATACTTAACACTTCCCTTTTTGCTAAAGCATATAGTTGGGTTGGATCAGGTGACCCTGAATCCTCACTTAGCGATGCTGCAATAGGTCCAGGCTGCAGAGGACTGTGCACTGAGTGTGTCTTATTCACTCACTATGTGTTTATACACCATTCTGCATTTAATCATTAGTTATTATTAATCTCTTTCTGTCTTCCACGCTGCATCTTTTGTTCTGTCTTCCTCCCTTCACCACAGACCGGTCACGGCAGATGGCCGCCCCTCCCTGAGTCTGGTTGTCTCAGAGCTTTTCTTCCTCCTCACTAAGTTCTTGCTCAGAGGGGATCGACTGATTGTTGGGGTTCTCTCTGCATTATTATCGGGCCTTTACCTTGCAGTATAAAGTGCCCTGAGGTGACTGTTGTTGTGATTTTGGTGTTTTATGTATAAAATTGAAATGAATAATTGTGCTGCAGTGGCTGGACACAGTTGACACACACCAGTCAGGCTGGAGACAGAAACTTAGACTGTAAGGAAAACAGGATAACTGTCACACAGGAGGAGTAGTGGGGCGATACTTGAGTGCATGAATACTATTTCTGAGCACTCTTCCTCAGTATAAAGAATGCATTTTTGCATTGTCACCGTTCACTTGTCACCTGCAGTAAAAGGTGCAGGACTGCATCAGTTACACAGAAACCACCAAAAAATGAGGCCTGGGCTCAAAATGCTACCATTGTATCACTGTTAGCACTTTAAATGAAAGCATTTGTTGAAACTGTTACAGTACACGATGTGTTGACCAGTGTTGGTCAAGTTACTTGAAAAAAGTAATCAGGAACTAATTACTGATTACTTCCCCCAAAAGTAATCCCGTTACTTTACCGATTACTTATTTTCAAAAGTAATTAATTACTTAGTTACTTAGTTACTTTTTAAAAACACGATTTACAACCTGAATAGGTGATAAAGCGATAGATCTTTCAGCCCAATTCTACTTTTTCTGCATAATCATCATACAAAATGTAATCAAATGGAAAAGTCTCTTTTTAAAACTTGTTTTATTAGTTTTAATCTTTTAACTTTATGCATCAAGCAAAAATTTAATTATATGCAACATTCTCTGACTGGAAGAAATTTGTTTAATATTTAAACCTATTTTCTGCACATTCCAGCACATAATTTTTTTTTTTGTGTTTACACTCAGTCTTTCAAATAAATGCAAGTAAAACACAGCTGAAAATAAATAAAGTCAAAGACTAGCGGTCCTTTTGCTCTATTTTCACCTGTAAAGCAGGAGTGGGGCAGGCGGAGGTTTACCCTGGTGCAGGTGTGCCGCAGCGGTCAGTGGAAGAATCCGCGAGTTTCTCTGTGAGTTTCCCATTACGTCGTAGCTACTCGGTGCTTGCTCGGAAGTTTAGGGGTTTTTTTGCTGTAAAAAGAAGTTTTCTTCCCACGCACAACGGACACTAATGTTTTTGTCACTTTTTATGGAATCAAACTCAAAGTAAGGTCAGTACTTCCACGCTTTAAACGCTGCACGCTCATACTCTCTCCCGCACTCGATATATTATCCATTGTTGATCTGCACACAGCTGTTGTCACGAACATCGCACTTGCAAATACAATCACGGTTTTAGTAACGCAGTAACGCAGCGTTCCTACGGGAAAGTAACGGTAATCTAATTAACGTTTTTGCAATAGTAATCCCTTACTTTACTCGTTACTTGAAAAAAGTAATCGGATTACATCTCTGGTGTTGACACAATTTTATAATAATTAAACATTAATATGACAAACTAGCTAAATTTAATGGTTAGCTCTAGGTTAGCCATTTGGCACCAGGTGAACTGACCCGAATGAGCAGTAGAGTACGACCAGGGCGGGTTGCCAGGTTTCCATTTTTGCAATATGAAGCAAAATAAAAAGTCTTTGAGTTTATTAAACTTAATGTTCTCTGACCTTTAGAAACCCAAATCCTCTTTCCATTCTAATTTCCTGTATGTTATTTTCACAAATGGTTAACGTTTCTAGCTGTGAGGAGATGCATTTCTAGTGTAAACCCAGAGCCCCATTAATCCACGAGACGGTGTGGCATTTACTAGGGTTTTACTTTGATGCCTTTTTATAGTGGCCGTGTGACCAAACACCTGTCTCAGCCTTTGTGGCTTAGCTATGAGGGTCTTCAAATGTCTGTGTGGAGACAGAAAATAACTTTCCCTCCATCACAGTGGAAACTTGGTGTGACTGAGCTGGAAAGACACGAGGAACACGTGCAAGTTTGAAAACACAGACTTTGATCCTGCAGGAGGACTTACTGTGTTACAGCAGCACAATAAAGAATAAAAATGTAAAAAAAGACTGTATAATCTACAGTAAAAATAACATAGTGGACCCTCTAGAGTTGATGGATGCACATATCACTTACTCATTTAAGTCAAACTACATACCACTTTCTAATTTGTGTTGAAGTCACATTCAATGCAGGAAGAAACCATAAAAATATTTTTTAAGGACAGGTTAGAAGAAACTATGACTTCACTCTCGTATCAGTTTAAAAAAGCACCTCAATAGCCAATCACAAGATTATATGGGAACACGTGGCATTTGGTGGCTCTGGAAAAAAAGGGGCCGTTGTGGGAGTGTCTTCAAAATCAATAACGGTGATTTTAATAGTGAGTCTTTAGGTTAGTGTGTTTAGAGTGCATAGTTATTGTGTCATGTAGTCATTGTTTGCTAAATTTGTATTTAAATGCTTGAAATTTCCAATTTATATTTGCATTTCAAATGATGAAAATAATTAAATGTATCTTTGGGTTTCACAGCAAATAATCTCTTCAGTTTTTTCTGTGATTTCTTAATACAGCATATAACAAAAAAATTTAACATTTAAACACTTTATTTGTAGTTTTCCAATTATCATACAGTACATTCGTATTATTTTACAGATAGCCACAAATCATAAAGACAGATAACACCAAGACAAGAAGAGAGAGAAAAGAAAACAGGGGTGCACCTCTCAGTTTTTACAGGCCTGTTCCAGGACAAACAAAAACATTCAAGGTTCCCGTTCCAGACCAGGTGGATTATTGACATATGTTAACAGAGGCTCCCATGTTGTGTGGAATTTGCTGATGGATCCGTTGAGAGTACATCTGATTTTTTCAGCTTGACATTTTGCATAACATCCCTTATCCAGTGGTGATGTGATGGAGCAGTAGTAGACTTCCTTTTAAATAAAATCAGGCGTCTAGCTAATAATGACAAAAAGGCTATGACCCTCTGTAAACGGGCAGGGGGAACAGAAGTTGCTATACCACAGAAACAACCAAAAATTGCCACCAAGGGGGAAGGCGAGATGTTATAGGCACAGGCTTTAGAGATGACTTCAAAAAATGATGACCAGAAAAGAGCAATTTTCAGACAGGACCAAAACATATGAAGGGACGTAGCTGGAGTCTGTTTACATCTATCACACGATGGGTCTATTTGGAAATATTGTTGCTAGTTTAGCTTTTGAGAAATGTGACCTGTGTAACACTTTGAATTGTATTTGTGTCTTGAACATAGAAGACGAGTGGACCCTGGAATGTTTAGATCTTTCCAGAGATCTAACCGGTCTGGTGATGGTTTACATCATTAAAAATAAATAATTGATTCTTGGCAAGACCATCTGTTACTGGTTTGATGAAAGCTGCAAACAGTGAGGGGAGAGCGGGCATCGCTGCCTGGAGCCCTCTGGAGACAGAAGCTGGAGGATGTTTGGTCATTTGTTCTGACACAAGCTGTTGGGGAATTATTTAATATTTTTAACCAGTTTATCAAAGAGTTTCCGAAACCAAATTTGTGTAAAGTTGCAAATAAAAATTTCCAGTTAACTCTGTCAAATGTTTTTTCTGCATTTAGAGACAATATTGTGGTTTTTACTGGATGAGTAGTCTATTAAATTAATCTACGTGTATTTGTTGATGAGTGCCTACCTCGCCACGATCGCCCCACAAGAGTTGGGAGTTCGCCTTGTAATCGGAAGGTTGCCGGTTCGAGCCCCGGCTCTGACAGTCTCGGTCGTTGTGTCCTTGGGCAAGACACTTCACCCGTTGCCTACTGGTGGTGGTCAGAGGGCCCGGTGGTGCCAGTGTCCGGCAGCCTCGCCTCTGTCAGTGTGTCCCAGGGCGGCTGTGGCTACAATGTAGCTGCCATCACCAGTGTGTGAATGTCTGGATGACTGGATATGTAAAGTGCTTTGGAGTCCATAGGGACTAGTAAAGCGCTATATAAATACAGGCCATTTACCATTTAATGAAACCAGTTGGTCAGGATGAATTAAGAGCGGGGTTATCTTCTCTAATCTCTCTGAGAGAGCTTTGCAGATTATTTTATGGTCAACATTAATAGGGGACGATAGCTCGTGGGAAATACAGGGTGTTTGCTGGTTTTAGCAGGAGACTAATGTTGGCAGAATTCATATTTGATGGTAGTCTGCTGTTTTCCTTGATTTCCTCCACGGTCTGTGGAGTACTGGTGCCAGAATTGTCCAGAATTATTTGTAGAGTTATGTTGGAAATCCATCTGGACCTGGAGCCTTATTATTGGGCAGACTTATCAGAGCTTCCTGGAGTTCGCAGGTCATGAACTCACGATTGCACTGGACATGCTCTGGAGTGAGGCTTGCTCTTATCTTTGAGGTGATGTTCCCAGTTCCTGATAACAGTGCTAAAGATTCTCACCTCAAATTGCTCTCTCTTGAGCAATTTGAGGTGCATGAGCCTCCTTTCAGGATAGACTCACTTATATGCCTGTGCTTAATCCAGCTATTAAGTGGCTGTACCTCAGGTGGTAGAGCAGGCCACCGACTACCAGAAAGGTTGGTGTTTCAATCCAGTCTGCATGCCGAATATCCTGGGAGATGATAGTAACCTCATGTTGCTCTCTGACACACCCATTGGAGTGTGAATGTTTAACTTTATTATGACACTCCTTGCAGGCCCAATATGTTTGATTAAGTATACAAATAAACTTATCATTATTAAATATTTTATTTTGTTCCATTTAGCATCTTGAGTAAACCTTTGTTGTGATTTAGTGCTATATAAATAAAAACTTGTTAAAAAGAAAACTCCAAAATAAGTTCATATGGTTGAAATCTCTGGATTCTGCCAGACCTGTAGTGCTTTTTCAAAATTTTCATTCAGCGTTTACTGGTAATCCAGTGTTGGTGACCATTAAGTCACGTACAAGTGACACATGTTGAGTGTGACACATGAAAATAAAGTTTTGTTCCAACATCGCCATATATTCACATATATGCTAAGATCATATAGTGAGAGGTGGTGGAATACAGGGTGGGCCATTTATATGGATACACCGTAATAAAATGGCACACCATTGTTTTTCTTGTGACATTACCAATACGTTTGATGTGTCACATGGCCCTCTTCCTATTGAAAAAACAAAAGTTGTATCCAAGATGGCCGACTTCTAAATGGCCACCATGGTCACCACCTCACATATACTAATGTGCCACAAACAGGGCTTTAATATCACCAACCATTCCCATGTTATTACGGTGTATCCATATAAATGGCCCACCCTGTAGATTGTAATAAAACAGCTGTTTGTAAGGCTACGTCCACACGTACACGGGTATTTTTGAAAACACAGATTTTTCTATGTTTGAGCCTTTCGTCCACACGTAAACGGCGTTTTGGGTCACTGAAAATGGAGATTTTTAAAACTCTGCCAGGGTGGAGACTTTTGAAAACTCAGTTTTTGCGTTTACGTGTGGACGAGGAAAACGGAGATTTAGTCACGCGATGTCAAAGGTGTGCGCCGTTTTTGACCTCACGCTGTGCTCATGTTATTGTTTACATGAGATTAATTTCTACAATGGTGGACAGAGACAACATGCTGTTGCTGTTAATCTGTCTGCAGTTTTTAAACACTGACATACACACAGTTACTGTCCCTACCTTTAGAAAGGCAAAGGCGGACGTGGCTTCTACATTCAACACAGACGCTCTCACAACCCAAATCCCAATGTCGATTTTGAATAAATTGAATTTGTAAAACATTAAATGTATGTATGCTGTATGCATTTTGTTCATTATTAAGTTGTGAGTCTACACAACAGCCAAGCTACTGTCTTTAGTTATTAACATTTGAAATGCACGTGTGGACGGATTTAAAAAACAAACGAAAACGGAAAATCGCCGCTTTCAAAACTACCCGTGTACGTGTGGACGTGGCCTAAATATTTTATTTTATTGCAATCTCATTATGATTCTGTTGTGTGTCAGTTGTATCCGGGGAGGTGAAAGAGTTCCCCCTCATGTCAAAAACGAGTCACGCTTCACTTAGCTGACACTTGATTTGAATGACTGTATCTTGTTTTTCACATACTAATGAAATATACTGTGTCTGTTAGTCGACCTATTAGCACAGAAACCCACCAAACCCAACCAGCATCTTTACAGGTCTTCTTATCGTAGAGCTGTGAAATATTTTAATGTTTGCTACCAACTAAGGGTAATTACATTCAGTCCTTCACCAAAAACATGATATACTCTTCTTAGTAAATTGATATTCACCACCTTGACATATTTATCCTGCAAATGTTAGTCACTATTAAACATAAGCAGCTTTTTAATCTGCAGTAACAGAATAAAAAGCTGTTTATGCTGGTGAAGCTCGGACTCTGTCAGACTGCTGTTGTCTCTGTGTTGAATATTTAATAAGTCTTTTCTCAGAAGCCGCAGCAGGACAACACGTCGACGCTGGCCATGCTGCACACTGATAAACTACACCAGGACGT